GTCTTCTGATTGTTCAGCCTGAATAATTCGTTTCTCCAAAGTATTTATTTATTATTTTGGGTCAATAAAATGAACTTTTCTCCATTGAATTAAATTTTTCTTAATTTCATCCATCTTCCTGGTGAAACAAAAAGCTGCATATCAATTAACTTGAATTTGCCAACCTTCCTCTAATACATGTTTGCAAGATTTATCTGAGAGCCATATCTCAAAAAATCTGAATGGTTTAGGTAATTTCTGATATTGGGGATGTAAATTTCAAATTAAAGGATGATGATCAGAACCCCATTTTGATCCTAAGTTAAGAGAGGTATAAAGGAATAATTAGAGCTAGTTCGGGGATAAGATAGCTCTATCTAGGGTTGTATGGATGTGGCCTATTGTTCTTTTATTTGTCCAAGAAGAACCTCCACCTTGGAGGTTAAGTTCTAGAAGATTATGATTTAAAATTAAGTTTCTATATTAAGATGAGGTGAGATGATTAATTAGAAGTGGAAGAAGAAGGATCGGAGGTATCTGTGGATGCAACATCATTAAGATCACCAATTAAAAGGAAAGGAAGATTAACTATTTGTAACAAGCTATTCATATCCTTCCAAAAAGAATTCCTTTTATGTTTAACTGAAGGGCCATGAAGAAATCCTAATAACCAATTTTCAAAAGAAGATTGAATTTTCAGGAAGACATACCTAACATTGGAGCAAAAAACATAAGCATTTAAAGCAGCTTTCCGAATAACTTCTAATCTGCCTGCTCGGCCTTCAGGATTAATTATAAAGGAGTTAGGACAATGCAGAGTATTAATTAATGAATTTAATTTAGATTCATGGATTTTGGTCTCATATAAAAAAATAATATCTGGATTGAAACGGGAGACAAAATCCATTAGTCCTTCAATAGCCTTGGGATGAGAGGCCCCACAGCAATTCCAACTTATGATCAACATGGATATGGGTGGGGTTGAATTAGGCCAGCCACCTCCACCCATAGAGATAAAAAAATGAAAAAGAGGTAGAAATTAAAGATTACCAACTCCTAATGCTCAGTATCTGAGTCCACATCTCAAGGCGACGAATTGTCCATGTTAATGATTCGATCAGAGGAGGAAGTAGGATCTGACATATTAAGACGATCAAAGATAGGGATAAGATTTGGGTTAGAATCAATCTAAAGACCTGAGAAAAGATCTACACGAGGTCTTTTACCTTGGATACCAGAAGAAGGCCCAGGTTGATAATCTAGAATACGATTCAGGAGAGATTGGGCACTTTTAGCCAAATGAAAAGTAGCAGCAGAAACTCTGACACGAGAAGGATTGGATGAGGAGGCCACCGCCAAAAGATTAGGTGACTGGGTAGTTGGAGACACAGGATTTGGAGCAAGAGTGACAAAATTGGTTGGCGGTGTGGAGTAATCTTCATGGAGAAGGTTTGTATTGTGAGGAGGGGTGGAAGGTGGCAACTCAACAAAGTCACTAAAAAGCGACATTTTCCATGTCCGCCGCAGGGTTTGTTTAGCTTTTAACCAAGGGCCTGGGTGATTCATGGTTCTCCTATTGAAGTACTGGTCATAGGGCAAATTGTTTGTGCGGGGTATAGGCTGTGAACAACGTCAAAATTGATGACCAATCTTTCCAGAAATATAACAGATCCATGGAAGATCTTCATAGCGATAAGTAACCCATTGGTGTATGCTGACAAAACAACCAGATTTGAGAGATCTATCTACTGAGATGGTAACCTTTGCACGAATATAATTTTGAATTACAAAAATAAACCTAGTGGGTCCTATACGTTCGAACAAAGGACGACCAGCATCCACTAAGAGGGTTTCAAAAAGTAGACCATGTAACTATTCACTGTCCATTGAGAGTCCAAGTACCTTCATTACAGATGCGATTATAGTCTTCTTCATATCTAAAATTTAAACGAAAATAACCTCGGTGGAAAGGTGCTAAGAGTAATCTATCAGGATTGAGGTTCCATAGGTGAGGTTCTAGGATTCATGAACACTAGGAGGGACCAAAGGTTGGATATTAATAATTTCAACAGCCCATGGACCATTACATTGGAGCATGTCTTGAAAAACCTAGTGAAGCGCCAAAAACAGAGGACGACAAGAGAAGAAACCGAACAGGAAAGAGGAGAGTAATGAACGAAGAGAAGAAAAGATAAGAAAAAAAGTAAACAGTTAACTATTTAAAGCATGTAATCTAGTTCAAGTAACAATAACAAATAATTAGGATAACATGTAACCGGAACCAATATAGTAAGGATTTCGAAATACTTCCTGATCCTTATGTCGGTTGATTTTGCATGAGAAATAAGTGCAACGTGTACTACACGAGTGAAAGTGTCGCATTAAATCTCTACTCCGAGAAGAAATATGATGAACGTCAGTCAAATCATGCCACTAGAATTAATTTGGATTACCGTTCCGGAAGATTTTAGTGTCGCCATGACTGCCTGTAGTTCACAGCTTCCAGATCCTGCATCCGCGGTTTTATCTTCTTGCTGGTATTCTGATCATAATGGCTACCTATCTCGTCGAATCTCTGCGTAAGTATCATAATGGAATAATTCGTATCGACGAAGAGCCTGATGTAGCTTTATCTTGCTGGTATTCTGATCATAATGGCTAGTTATATCGCGGCGGAATTGAGGAAATTCTTCCAGATCTATATTCTTCCCCTGCCGATGGTTTTCGCTGCCACCATCGTGAGAGTGGAGCTGCTGCTCGATCTGGGCTACCACGACCCACTGTATGCTATAAGATCTGGCCGACGCATCAAATCATCCCAGCGATCGGAGAAGAGTCGGGAGTCTTCTTGATCGACGTTAAGGTCACGATCCTCACCATGGTCATCCATGTCAGAGATCTCTTGAAGAAGCTAATCCTTATCGTCTTTCACGACGCTTCATATCCCGATTTCTTTCTCCAGATAGAACTCGATCCACAACTTTTACTTCAGTCTCGATCGCTGTAAAGTCCCAAGGGAGGCCGGGCTAATGACGAAACTTCCAGAGAAGCTAACTAACAGAAGGAGCACAAAGTATTCGACTGAGGCGGCTAGGAACCCACGAAAAGCCTACCTACCCTACCCTGTCCCCTGTCGGAACGCGGTAGGAAACTCCAAAAAAGCTAATGGAAGGAGCGAAAGTCAATTGAGGGGGCCGGCTATATGAAAACTTCATGGCCAATTCAGGAGTCAATGAATGACAAGTTACAGCACCGCCGGTGATGAAAAACTTGCAGTTATTCATCCTACCCAGCATACACAACCTTCCGGAAGATTGAAGCAACCTCGAATTAAAACTCTTCTTCATTCTCCTCCGCCTTGGCTAATGAGTTCCAAGTTCAGTGCGATGGATCGCAAACTCGGTGAACCAGATAAACACCTTCATCATCATACTCTTTTCCGATTGTTCCTGTCCGACAAAGTGATCTTTGTGCTATCTTCGGTGGCGGTAGTCATTTCCACCCAGCTTCCTAGCGAGTACATCGACGGAAACCCAGTTCCTCGGGTTCTCTTCACCGGACGGCCCTTTACCTTTCACGCTTTCCTTACATCACTTACATTTGCTTTAACCGGCTCGCTCTGTGCAATATTGCTTCGCCAAGTCTACACCAAGTCGGCTCGAACTTTCAGGTGTTTGTCTATTGTTTCAGTGGCCGCAGCCTTGGCAATATTAGCGTGGCTCGCCTTCATTACGACTTCCGGCAAGTAGCCTGGTTTTTTCAGTATTTACAGGATTTTGGGCGAAACAAAGTGTCCATTTCGTTCACGGGAACAGGGGGTCTGGAAAAGAATTAGAATGGCCATTTCGATTCCAAGTGTTTGATTGGGCTGAACTGGAAACTCGTTCCCATTTCTTGTGGAATACCATTCCTCTACTTCCTTTCTTTTTTTGGAATGCTCTGATCTCCGGCAATGAATGTTCATTATTTAGTTACTAAAAAATGCTGATGTTCTTGCGATATATAACTTGTTGCGTCAATCTTCTGATTTATCTCATTTCGGTATTACAAAATTGAAAAATATAAATATGTTAAAAAAATGGATGAAACATTTTGATTACCAAGCATTCACTTCTGCAAATTGTCAAAAGGAATTTTGCAAAAACAGAAAGAGAAAAGGGTAAATCCGAGGGCCGGCGTCTCATACTTTGGGAGTCTGACACTTGATTTCCACAGGGTTTTATAATTTGAGTTGATGCATTCAGTGATGAGCTTCGAGTTCCAAATCTCTGCAAACGATATTACTCTGTTGTGATGTATTGTAAATATAGGAGCCCTTGGGGTTTTCCTGTATGCCACCGCAACCATTATCTGAAACACCACCAGTTTATTGGCGATCTATAAATCAATTAATACCATTATTTTCCCCGAGAATGAAGAAAGCGGAAAAAGCTGTAACTGATCCAGGTGCAGAGAATCATCCATCTTTCATGAGGAGATCTTCTCCAATGTATGGTTGGAATGTTGTTGGATTCATGAGTTGGTAGTTGATCCAAATTCGTTTGTTGTAGTCTAGATTTATTAAAAAAGGGGGTAAAAAAAAAAAAAAACTGCTCCAACATGATATGTGTCCATACATCTCACCTTATATATAGTGGGTGTTTAGCACGAGAGTGTTTCACAAGCGCTCCAATTGATAAGTGGGCTTTGATCCACAAGTTCCGTTTTACCTTTTTTTTTTTTTTCTGAAAAGAAAAAAAAATGGGATGTAAGTTAACTAGGGTTTTTTTAGCTCCAAAATTTACTCTGGTGGAGGGGTGGCCACTGTAGCTTTATTCATACGTAAAAAAACCTTGGAGGGGGGGACGTGAAGCCTTACCCCTCGAACTATACAGAGGAGACTCGGCTCATATAGACAAGTGTCTGGGAAACCTAAAATCAATGAATTCACAAAAAAAGAAGACCTAGATCATCTGCTGTAACCAATTTCTGTATGTATGAAGAAAGAGTTTCTATGCATTCATAAACAATTTTCTGAGGAATTAAGCAACTGAATTTTGCAAGAGCATCCGTCGGTTGGTTAGCTTATTGGTAAATATGAACACAAAAGAATTCCGATCTATTCCTAAACTCATGTACTCAACGCAACCAAGACCAAAGCTTTCACGAGGTTTACAATCACCATTAAGGATGTCAATCAAAATTTTGGAGTCTGACTCCACCATAATCTTGTTTAGGTCAAGAGCAACAACAAGGTGCAAGCTATCCAGCAAGGCCATAGCCTTTGCAACTAAGTTTGTTTCAGTTCCATAAGTGTTAGAGAAAGAATAAATAAAACTATTCCTTCCATCTCTGATAATACCCCCTCCACCACAGGGGCTCGGGTTTCCTCTGGAAGCACCATCTACATTCAGTTTCATATAAACCTCTGGAACCACCAATAAATGCACCACTTTGATGTTCATTCCTTTAATTGGTTGGATCCGCAATCCCAATCCCTATAAGAAGAGTTATTGATTAAAACTCACCTTGTTGGTCAGAGTTAAAGAAGAAGAACATGAAGCCACCACACTATCACCCAAATCACCAACTTGGAGCATTTGAACTTATTTCCAAATCTCCCAAACTGCAAAGCAAGCTATGAGCCCTACCACAATATCCCATTGATTTTTAGCGGAAGCTGCTAAAAACCAAGTGGAGAGAAGCTCCTTAATAATCCCATTTCCCCTGAAAGGCAGCTCTAGCATTTTGCTAAAGAAAATCCACACTTTCTACGGTAAGCAGCTATGCACCAACAAATGGTTGATATCTTCTTTTGAGGGATCCCGGCATCACATACATATGGAGACTAAAGAAACTCCCAACCCCTTTATATCAGCATCCACTCCAACCTTCCCAACCATAAGTTTCCAAACAAAGAAACTTATCTTGGTTGGCACTAGAGCATTTCAACATCACATGCATACTCAAAAGAAAGGGAAAGGGACTACAACTTTGAAGATAGACATGTCAAAGGCCTTTGACTGAATGGGTTGGAACTTCATAGTCAATGTAGTGGAAAACATGAACTTTCCTCCAAAATGGTGCAATCTAATCCTCAAATGCATTTCTAGTGCATCCTTCTCCATCAAGCTCAATGGAGAAGCACATGGTCAGTTCCAACTCAAGAGGGGATTAAGACAGGGAGATCCCCTATCTCCCTACCTCTTCATAGTTGGAATGGAGGTCCTAACCCAGCTCGTCATGCAAGCCCAAGAAAACTAGAAAATCCAAGGAGTAAGGCTCACTAGAGATAGCCCACCATTCACACATCTACTATTCGCAAATGATTGTATCCTCTTCTACAAGGCTGACCCTGTTCAAGTAAAGGAACTAAACTCCATCCTTCAACATTTTGAAGATCTCTAAGGTCAGAAAATAAACACACACAAGTCAAACATTGCTTGCACTGGTAATGTTCCCCGCCATTATAGGAATTTTTTTTATCACATACTTAAAGTAAAGCAACCACTGAGGGTTGCCAAATACTTTGGAGTTCAAACAGGTCTACAAGGGTGGGAAGTGCATTTCCTACAAAGACTTGAAGGAAGATATTATCTCAAACTACAATCTTGGAGCGCTAAACTATTATTCCAAGCTGGTCGCACCACTCGTATCAAAACAGTGATGCAAGCAGTACCCATTTATCAAATGGCTTCTGCTATGTTACCAACTACTCTGCACCTTATACTGGACAGACAAGCAAGGGATTTCTGGTGGAGTTCACTCTCAAGAACAATAAAACATACAATCTCTTGGCAGAAATTCTATTTATCAAAAGCCCAAGAAGGGTTTGGACTCAGGAGTAGCAGTCTCGTGAACAAGGCCATTTTTTTCCAACAAATTTGTAGATTGTTAATTTTCCCAGACTGTTTGTGGAGTAAACAAGTAAAAGCCAAATACTACTCTCATACAAGTCTCTTTGCTTTACAAAACAAAAAGAATACCTCTCCCTAGTGGTTTAAATATATAAACATTTAATGATCCTTAGGTTCCAACAATAAGCGGAAGCATTCCAACTCCAAATCCAAACTGGGCTAGGGAACAAGATCTAACAATTAGGGATCTACTAGAGTTAGATATCTCATGGAATATGGATAGAGTACAACAAGTGTTTCACCAAGACTCCATACTAGGGCTGTTCATAAGAAGGCCCAACCTGACCAAACTGACCAACCCGGACCGACCCAACCTGAGTCGGCCGGGTTTTCATCAGCACAGGTCGGTTTTGGGTTGTGCAAATTCCTAAACCGATGATTCGGGTCGGTTTCGATTTTTTTGTGCGAAAACCAAAACCGACTTAGTTCCTAGTTCAAACATGAAGTTCCAAAGTCCATTAGGCCACCTAGTTTTTGAATGGTTGCAAGAAACTTTGGATTAGTGAATAGTGATTAATGAACAACTTTTGTGATTAACTTTTCATTTAAAATTTATCATAGGAGATGGCTGAAATGATGTTCAATTTATGACTGTTTTTAAAATTAGCAAGATTTTATCACAGGGATGAACTTAGAACCGAAACCGACCGAAATTGATCCAACCCGACTCAAACCGACCAGGTCGGTTTTGCTTAACACTGGGTCGATTTTGATTTCTATGTCAGGTAACCCGATCAGGTCGGGTCGGTTGGAAAAACCACAGTAAACTGACCCAACCCGACCGGTGAACAGCCCTACTCCATACTACACATCCTAGCGTTAACCCCCAATTCAGAGTTAATGAAAGACACACCCATCTGGAAACTCTCCAACTCAGGAAACCACACGGTGAGTTCGGCTTATCTCTTTTACTCAACTATTGAAGAATCTGCTTCTAGCTCATTCTTTAACTAGAAGTTCTTGTGGAAGCAAAAAAATCCCTTATAGGTGCCAACTCTTCATTTGTAAACTACTTTGGGATGGAGTACTCACTAAAGATAAGTGTAGACATTGGCTTCTCACTTCTAATCAACAATGTCTTTTCTATAATAATGCAAAAGAGACAATAAACCATTTGTTTTTTCACTACCCATTCTTGAAACCAGTATGGTGTACAACACAGATTGGGTTGAACCCGAGCCAAATCAGAATACAACACATGCACCAAGTTATACAGACATAGTTCAAGAGACTTCTAATGTTTTTACCTAAAGAAGAAGCCACAATTATGTTAGGAAGGGCCCTTATATTATTTTACCACATATGGGAAGCTAGAAATAAAAAACACCACGAACAAATACACCCCTCACCAGCAAAAGTGATTCATAAATGGAAAACTTCCTGCCCAGACCAGCATTAACTTGCACTACCAATGAATTCTAATCTTGACATCACAACTCTCACTAACTCCTCCTCTCTTCAAATATATGTCTCTTACGACCCAGGTACAAGAAGCAGGGGTGTAAACGGATGGAATTCGAATCGGATCAGACAATATCCGAATTCGAATCCGATTAAATATTCGAATATCCGATTCGATTCGAATTCGATTAATTAATTATTTTAGATAATTAATAAATATATAAAATAAATATTTTATTGATATAAAGTATAAATATATAAATTATTATATATATTATATAAAATATTTTATATATTATATATAAGAATTAAATAATCGGTCGAATTTGAATATTTATCAAATCGAATCAGGTCATATCCGAATTCGACCGATTAGATATTCGAATTATCCGAATTCGATTCGATTATGTCGAATATCGAATTCGAAATCGGATTTTCGAATACCGTTGACACCCCTAACAAGAAGTGCAAGATGCTCATTCATCCTCCATCAAGAACAAGGACAACAAGTGGTTAGCGAAGGGGCATCTTGCTGGGCCATCAGTCCATATGATGTAGAATTAAGAGCTTTGACAGAAAGCTTAGAGGCAACTACAAAACATTGTGTAAATAAGCTAATAGTCTATGGAAACTTGCAACAACTAATATCCTTTTTGAGAGATCTAGAAAATCCTGCCACATTGGTTGAGTGCCTTCACCAACTCATACCATCTTCTTGGGCTCGACCTCATCTAGGGGAACCAAGACGAGGTCCTCGGCTTGCTGGCTCGTCCCTGAGGTCTAGCCCTTCCAGCGGTAAAGCTTATTTATTATTGTCTTTTAGTTCCACAACATAACACTATCTGGCAGATTGTTGGTTCCCCCTAATTACTCCCATGCCATGCTCGGTGGGGAACTTCATGGTGAGGTGATAGGACGAGATGGCCACCTTGAGTGCACGAATGGTTGGCCTCCCTATGATGGTGTTGTACGGGGAGCCTATCTCCACGACCAAGAACTTGGTCATTCGGGTGACATGCTGGGGCTCGACCCCCACCGTGACTGGCAGGGTGATCTTCCCCTTGGGCTTGACGATAGCTTTAGAGAACCTGACCAATGGTACGTCCACGGGCTGCAACCGATCTAACAACAACTACATCTTCTCAAAGGTGTCATAGAATAGGATGTCAACTGAGGAGACGCTATCTATGAGGATTCTCTTCACCATGTAGTTAGTGATGGTCATAGACACCACCAACGCATCATCATGGGGCAATGAGACCCCTTGCAGGTCATCGTCAAAGAAGGAGATGATATCTTCTTGCCTCGTCCTTTTAAGCGTCAGGCTTTGTATGTTGTATCGCCTGGCGTATGCCTTCTAGGCCGAGGCTGATGCTCTACCCTAGGTTGAGCCCCCAACGATAACGTTAATAACTCTAGATAAGGGGTAATGGGCCTGGGGCCTGACTTGTTGTTGTTGCTGTGAGGATGAGGCGTAAACGTCACCCCCGAGGTACTCCTTTAGGTAACTACAGCGGATGAGGGACTCAATCTCATTCTTGAACTTGTAGCAGTCCGTAGTGTCATGATCGGTGCCATGGTGGTACTTGCAATATTTCTTAGGGTTACCACTTTTGGGGTTTCTCTTCATCTTAGTCAGCCACTTCACGTATTTCTCTTTCCCTACTTGCATGAGTATGTGTGTTTGGGTGGATTTCAGTGGTGTATACTTGTTGAAGGGGCCGGCGGCTTTTTCTCATTGTCTTTGTAAATGTGGTTGTGGTTGCAGCCTTCCCTTTCCTTCCTCTTCTTGTTCGTACCTTCTTGGTTGGGCTTGGCCTTTGGCTCCTAGAGGCATTTGTTGGCTTCGGCCTCCTTACTGGCAATGTACTTCTGCACCTTTTTCAAGAACTTAGCCTTGTTCTTGGGCAGTGTCTTGGAGATGGACTAGTTGACAGGTTCAGGCCGAAGGCCGCTGATGGCCACATGCATGGAGATCGAGGGGTCCAAATCCCTCACTTCAAGCTCTTCCTGATTGAACCGGTCCATGTATGCCCGAAGGCTTTCTCCGCACTTCTGCTTAATGGACATTAAGGAGATGACAGTCTTCTAACACTACTGGCTACTGAAGAATTGGGAGAGGAAGAGATCTGCCAACAGGTCCTAGGAATTGATAGACCAAGGGGGCATGGAGGACCATCAGCGTAATGCTCCCTTGAAAGTGGCTTGGAAGGCTTGGCACATCAGGGCGTCAGAGTACCCATAGAGAAGCATAAGTGCCTTGAATCTTTCCAAATGATCATTTGGATCTGTGCTCCCATCGTAGGTCTCTAGAGTGGGAGCGGCTCTGAGGTGATGGAGTCAATGAAGGCCTCCATCCAGGTGGATGAGGGGTTTTAACTAGTGGAGGCATCACCTCGGCCCTCTTTCACATGTCTTACCTGATCTTG